TGATTGAAATACTATGTAATTGGAATACATTGTAATTTCAATACAGTATAATTTAAATACAATGTAATTGAGATACACTGTAATTGTGTGTGTGTGTGAAATACAGTATAATTGAAATACAATGTAATTAAGATACACTGTAATTGTGTGTGTGAGATACAATATAATTGAAGTACAATGTAATTCTCTCTCAAATACAATTTAATTGAAATACAATGTAATTCAAATACAATTTAATTGAAATACAGTGTAATTCAAATACAATTTAATTGAAATACAATGCAATTAGGAAACATTGTAATTTCAATACAGTACAACTGAAACACAATGTAATTGAGATACATTGTAAGTGAAATACAATGTAACTGAACTATGTAATTCCGTGTAATTGAATTAGCACAGCTCTGTATGAGACAGTGAACTGGAAGGGAGCAGGATCCTCATGCCATTCGCGTTTCGCGATCCACAGAGCAACATCGAACGCATCTATCAAAACTGCGGTTAGGACGTGCCGCGGCAGGAGGTTCGAAGGAATGGTGCACTTACCGATCGGTTGTTTCCAAGTCACAGTCGGAATGGGGAATCCGTCAGCTTGACATGGTATCGAGACGCCGTGACCTACAACGGCGTTCTGGTCGATAGGCTCCACCGTCCACCGTGGCGGCACTAAAAACACAATCTAATTGGCTTAAAATCTCCGGACTTGTCGGCTCGTTTCATCGACGAGCGTTTTTCATCCGCGGCTCGGTCCCGGACGATCCCAGCCGGCGACGCCACTATCCGGATCCAGGGACGTCAATTACCACGGCATCTGACCTTCGGCCTTCGCTTGGCCCTTACTTGCTCGCGTCTTGATTCCGATCCGGATCCCGCCTTGTCCGCGAGAACGTATTCTCCCGTTGACAATGCTTCGTTTCGCCGGACGAAACGCCCGATCCTTTCGGCCGAAACGCGTGTGTCAAATTCAAAGTCGGACCCGCCTCGTCTTGGTTGAATAGGTCAGGGTTATAGACGAGAATTTCGATCGAGAAATTTCGCGAAGTCTGCTCGCGAAGTCCGCATCAGAAATTGGGCTCCCTTTTGTGCGGGCTTGGAAATTCGGACAAAAATCTTGGTCGAGCGTGAAGCGCCTTTGAAGTTCACCGCAATCGAGTTAAACGATCTCCGACGATTCCATGACAGACGTGTACGTTTAAATTCTCGATTATATTGATCTTCTTGCGTATTTGCGAACCCGAAAGTATTTGTTCGAAAACAAAATTTTCTCTTTTATTCGCGGAACGTCTCTACGGAACGAATTATAAGTTACATAATTTTTCTTAAACTAACAGGCTCGAGATTTTCATTCAACCGGACTACAAAGTCATTGTTAATGAATTCTATACATTTAATGAAATTCTGTAACATTCAATGGAAATAAATGCGGTAATTTTCTGTATAAAAATGTACGCTTAGAAAATCAATCATTTGCAAGATATTTTACTTTATACTTTGCTTTGCGCAACTTTCCAGCGCAACTTTGTAACATCGAAGCTAAAATATTTTCGAAGCTACAGGTGTTCGCGCGAAATTTCAAGAAACAATCTTATGGATAATACCATGAACACTTTCCCCGACAAGATCAAATAATTTCCACGGTTTTTTAAACGCGAGGAACAAACGGAACGAAATCGTTCCAGAAACGAAACGGTACAAATGGCGCGTCGACGGAATTATTTCTCCATAAATCTCTGTCGGCGGGAAAATCGATCAACGGGTTACACGTTTGTTGCAGTAGGTTCGCATCCGGCGTAAGTAGAAGCGACAAGCAATAGCCCGGACAGGCTGGTCGATCGTTATTTAACGGGCGAACAATCGACATCTGCGAACCCCGTGAACATTTCGTTCGAAATCGCCGACTTACTTGTATGTACCGCGTCCGTGCGGCGTCTTCTCGATTCGATCACGAATTCCACGAACGACTAATGATTTTGCATGGACGCGATCGCAGCTGCGCGGCGCGTTCTTCAATATCTGCAGCGGCAGGTTTGGAAAAACAGGGCCGAACCCGGTTGAAAATATTCGGAATATAAATCACCGCGCGGTAGAAATGAATTTTTGTCGCGCGTCTCGGCACGAGATGCCCGGACGTTGATCGCTCGAGAGACGAAGATCAATCGACGGGCTTGTCCACAGTTTGACGTCGACCGACGAGCAAGATTTTACTGTCGCGCTAATTAGCCATTGTTCTCGCGGACGACGGTCAGAACCGGAAGATCGAACGGCTGCTTCCGGCGACTGGGATCGTCGCGGCCGGCCCCGATCTCTACCATTGTTTTATACTGTCGTGTGTGTCGGCTGTGCTGCGTGTATACGTGTCCGTGTGTGTTATACCTGTGCGCCTGGGCTGTGTTACAATGTTTTTACTGGTGTGTGGCGAAACGCATGCAATGTCCATTGGGTTCGATGTACTGCATACTTACGGGTTGCTAAGTGATATTGTGTGCGTGAAACAACAACGGGTTATTCGTGTGTGCGAACGTGTGTCTGCCTGTATGGGTGTGTGTGTTATCTGTGTGCCTGTATATGCGTGTTCTGTAAACAGTGGGCGGCACCGGCGACGGTATGCCTGTGATGGTGTTTAAACTACACTTGAATTGACGATGTCGGGTATCGGAGGGATGAAAAATATTTTATGCCCGCTCGTCGTCCGAATGAGGAGGAACTAATTACCGGTCGGGAAAATAAACTTCGAGCAGCAATTAAAATAACGAACGGAAGACTGAATGAAACCATTGAAAGTGGGAGCGAACAAGATCGTGCATTCTTAAACCGAACGGAACCGTACAAAAACGAGGAATAAGTACAGTGGAACGTGCTTTGGAAACGAAATCAAAGGCGGACGTGTATTCAATGCCTCGTGATAATACGAAATATAATGTGCGTTAATTAAACGAGAGAGAGAAAGAGAGAGAGAGAGAGAGAGAGAACGAAAGAAACTGGCGGGTACAAAACGAAATTCTCCGATCGATCGTTGGCAAACAAGGAGCAATATCCTCGTGCGGATCTTTGTACAACGTATACACGATTCGTGGAGGAGGTGGAGGAGGAGGAGGTGACGTGTTCCATGCGCGAATTATTCGAAAAATATAAGTAAACACAGGCAGGCAATATCATTCCAAGTAAAAAAGATTCTGAATACATAATTGGTGATTGCGTTCGATGAATGAAACACAACATCACGAACAACGCAAACCCTATCTCAAAGATTACTTGTTACTCGTGAAAGAAGAAGGCACGCAGAAAACTTCGAGGCATACCAAATTCAAATATATGTATAGAATAAAAATGTTGCTTCCAACATTCTTCCATCGTCATTCCAAGTTGCTCGTTAGAATAAGGTATATATTATTTATATATATATACATGTATATTATATATATACACACACACAGAGGTGTACATTTTTTTGTACTTAACATATATACATATATGTATATATACATTATACATATATATACCTATACATTAAATATGTAATAGACAGAAGATAAATACGTAACCATGAACGAGGGAAAAGTAAACTGATTACGAGAAACGTATGAACGAGAAAACCTTTTAACTACGCGAACGCATGCTTCTTACATCTGTCACAGACATATCGGTTGCATTGCACGAGCATATAATATTAAGTAATTCTCTCTGTTACACGAAACCGCTACAATAATAATACAATCAAATGGGTAGATATAATATAACAATGTGATATATATATACTGTCTAGCTAATGAACACGCGGCGATAAACGAAAGAGTAAAGAAGAAAGAGAAACCAAGATTCCGTACAGAACGAAAAAGGGAAACCAAGATTTACCAGTAAAAAAAAAGAAAAAAAAACAATAGTACGTGACTAAATTCTATTTGAAGGAATCTCACACTCGGCTCACGAGGTCTACAACGAACTTTAATTTGACAAATGCTCAGATGAACGTGAAGATGTATATCCAGCGCACGCAGGGTGTCCAGAAGTTTCGCCGACCGAGCGACGCTTCCGTTGTCTTTCCGTGCCGACGCGGGAATGACAATGACGATCGTGCCGCCCGGCAAACGTCCGACGAAAACGCGTTTCGTGTCGCGGGCGTATCGCGTCGCGATAAAAATACAAGCCGACGCGACGCCGCGTCGGGAAAAGCGTCGGCCGTTCTCGATCGGATCGCGCGAACGTTCGTGCGAAAAGGCGGCCGGAATGAAAAATACAGCGCGGGCCGATCTGACGTTTCGGCGCGATTTCGCGCGACGATTTCGCCGACGGGAAACTCGTGTCCGGTTAGGCGGGAATACGCCGGTTTGCAAGGCGTGTCGGTGGTTCGCCGAAGTTTCGGGACACCTCGCGGCGAACGGCGAACGAACAGAAAAAAGAAATCGTCGTAAGAACAGAAAATTACAAACGAGAGAGAACGTAAACAGCAATGAGGGAACGAACTCTCCGGTTCACTCTACACCGCTTCTTCTTTATCTCTGCCCTGTTGTGCCTTACCGCGTCCTCGACGCACTCGCGTCGCCGATGATTAAACGTCCGCCGCGCCGGCAGATACACGTGCTGTTCCGTAAGTGAAATCGTAACGAAATAAAGAACCCGTGCGTGTCCCCGGATACAGCCGGGACCGGTTTTAATCGGCATGCATTAGAACTGAACAAAACGGTTCACGGTTCAAGCCTGCGGTCCCTAGAAACGAATCTCGTCACCCTTCGCTCGCGTGCGAAACGACACCTAGACTTCCGGTCGGCCGTATATGCTATTTTCTTTTTATATATATATATATATATATATACATACATATACATATAGGCGATATATGTACACACGGTCTATCGGGTGGTCGTGTCTTATTTTCGATCCCGTAGCCCTTTTGTCGCGATGGTGCTGTTGGCCGTGAGAAGGATCGGAGTACAAGTCGTATCGATAAACATTCCCGCGAATGCACGAACGGTTTTTCGCTCTCCCGGCATCTTCTCGCCGGGAACCACTTCCGGTCGAGCAACTCGGCCCATCCAGGTCCCACGGAATCGCTATGCGAAGCGCAATGCGGACCTCGTGGCATTCGAGGATACTGTCCACGAACGTAGTAACCTGAATTCGGTTACCTGGTATCGAATCTTCCAGGGATTTGGATCATCGGAATTGCTCGGATGACTCGGTTCGCCGGGACGATGCCCCTGGAATGATTACCGACGACAGCCATTCTTTGCCCTACTGAACCTTTTGGGCGGCAGCCATCTTTTTACCGGACATCTGTGCAGCTGTGCTCGGCGCGCTGTGTGCTCGTGCACCATTCAACGATTAACCCCCTGCCGTTTCATTACGGTTACAATGATTACAATTTCTTCGATTCTAATCATTTCTTCGAAGCGAAAGAGTCTCTATTCTTATTTCAATGCTTAAATATTGATGGCAAGAGAACAGAATTTTTTCCGAATTCAATGCGCGGTGAACATTCATGCTTGACAGGTTATTATTGGAAATCTCTGTCACCAGTCAGGCTCGTTAAAGTAAGCCAAGGGGTTAATGTTAGTCGTCGTGCTGTTATTAAATTAGCTTCGCAAATTTCATTAAAATATTTCGTGGTTAACGTTATCTCAATGCAGCGACGACGACTTTACAGCTGCCAATCGATATTTGATACGATA